AATAGAGATTTCTTGGAAATACATTCAAAACGCTACTCCTCCTACAGTTTTGATCTGATTTCAGTATAAGATGGCACACAAGTAGACTATATTAAGATACTTGATTCTATGTATCGGATTTTGATTTCAATGAACGATGTTGCCATGATTACTAAAAATAGAAATTTCCTTAAAATACTTTCAAAACGCTACTCCTCCTACAATTTTGGTCCAATTTCAGTCTAAAGTAACCTGGTACACAAACAGACTACACTAACATACATGATTCTATTTATCCGTTTTTGATTTCAATGAACGGTGTTGCCATGGTTACTAAAAATAGGGATTTCTTGGAAATACTTTCAAAATGCTACTCCTCCTACAGTGTTGATCTGATTTCAATATAACACAAGTAGACTACACTAAGATACATAATTCTATTTTTGATGAACGGTGTTGCCATGGTTACTAAAAATAGAAATTTCCTTAAAATACTTTCAAAATGCTACTCCTCGTACACTTTTTGTCTGATTTCAGTATAACTTGGCATACAAGTAGACTACACTGAGATACGTAATTGTCATTATTGTTTTTTGATTTTGTTAAATGATGTTGCCATGGTTACTTAAATCGAAATTTCTGTAAATTTATTTTAAAAGGCTACTTCCTCCTACAGTTTTAGTCTGATTGCAATAAATCTTGCCACAAAAAGAGACTAAACCAAGGATTATTATTCTATTTATTGCTGTTGCAAAGTTTCAAGTCCAAGTGCTACTTTTATCTTCTTTTATAAGTGCATGTACAACCAGTAAAGTTACAGTCTCGTCAGAGACTTCTGGTTTAGTTTCGCTATTGCCTTTTTCACCTCTTCTACACTGGGTGAATCTGTATTAATGTCCAATGTGTCTATGGCTGGTGTTATCAGGGCTTCGTTTTCTGTATCATTAACATTTAAAACTTCCTCAAATGTTCTTTCCAACGTGTCTTCTTTTGATAATGCATTTCCTTTTATATCTCTAACTGGTAAATCTGATGACTGAAATTTACCTGCTAGTGTTTTTGTTATTCGATAGAGGGTCTGCATATCTTGTTTAAAGACTGCTTGTTCTGCTTCTTTAGCTAGTTTTTCAGTGTATACTTTGCGGTCTGCTCTTGCACTCTTCTTTACTTCTTTGTCTATAGCCCGATATTCTGCTTGGGGCTGATCTTGTTGTCTCTTTGATTTAGTGGATACCATTTTCTTTTTTTTCTTTACGTTATTCTACTATTTTCCATGCACTGTCTGAGATCTATTCTTGTTTCCCCCTTTTCTTGGACCAAGTAGTTGTTGAGCATTTTCTAATAATTAAATGTTTCCATATCAATTTCATCTGAGTGTTCCATGAGAAGCAAAAATTTATTTTGAACTTTTAATTAAAGAGATATCTTAATTTTTGTGTCTTTTAGCTTTTTGATGTTAATTGGAGACGGTCTTTATCCTTTCTCCTTGATTTCCTTAACTTCAACTTGACTTTAGCCAATACTAATGAGTGGTCACTTCCCATGTCAGCCCCTTGTTTTGCAAGCACATCCAGGAGGCTACTTCTCCATCTCTTGTTAACAATGACATTGTCAATTTGGTTTTTTATGACCATCTGGGGAGTTCCATGTTGTCATTTTGGATATCTTTGTGCATAAATATAGCCCCACCAATTATCAAGTTGTTTTCTTGGCAGAAAGTGCCAAGCCTCTCTCCGTTGCTGTTACATTCTCCTAATCCTTTCCCACCCATGATGTTTTCTTTGCCTTGATTGCTTTTCCCAACTTTTGCATTTAAGTCTCACAAGATAAGCAGAACATCATGCGATGGTGTATTGTCTACTATCTTTTGTAAGCTATCATAGAAGGAGACTTTCTCGTCATCTTCTGCATCATCTGTTGGTTGCAAAGCAGACAACTACAGTTAGTTTGGAAAAAGCTGAGTTGAATCTTGCTGTTAATATCAGCTCACTTACAGGTTTCCATTCTTATAGACTTCAATGAACCTCTTTTGTTGTGATTATTGCTACTCCTCTGCTATGATGTTCATCAGTTCTTCCAGAAGAGAGTATTTGATGTCCTGACACTAGTTAGTTGCTTTGACCTATTACCTGTCCATCTAGTTTCACTTATTCCAAGGAGCTCGATCTTGTAACTCTCCATTTCTCTTACCACTTGCGCCAGTTTTCCTGTTTGGTAAAGGGTCCGCACGTTCCAGCAGCCCACTCGTTATTTTTGGTCGAAGGACATCTATATATCAGGGTGGGAAATTCACCCGTCATACTACCAGTATCCTGTGTTGAATCAATCCTTCTTCCACCATTTTGTTCTCTGATTAAGGTTTCTGTAGCTGCATTGTTTGACATGTTAGGGTTGCTGGCCCTAAGTTTAACCCCCTGAACTCAGAGGGCCAGTGGTTTTCTCTCAGGTTTTCCTTCCCCTGCGTTCCATTGCTTTCGTGCTCATCTACACAGATTTTCTGTCAGGATTTTCTTCCATAGCCTTTGACTTTCCCAAGCCTTCCCAAAAGGCAGTGAGGCTATTTGACCCATAGCTGGGGGCTAGGTTTGCAGACAGCAGGGCATATCCACTCACCGGTGGCCCATGCGTGACGTGCATTTATGGGCCTAGTCTCCTCCAAGACCCTGGGGTTCTGCTTGGGGCCCTAAGGTACCAAATGTTCATGTGCTACCTCGAGGGGGTTCTGGGCCACATAGGTCTAACTGTGGAGAGGCTGTACCTGGCAGATAAGACTTACATATTCTGCTTACTTTTTGCAGTGAACTGCTAGCCAGGGTGGAGCTGAAAGCAAGAGTGATAGGCACAGACAGACACACACACTGTAAACATCACACATCCATTTAGCAGACATTCTGATATTATTTCCCGTTTTTGTTTAGTTTTTTTTTTCTTTTTAGATTGCCCCTCCGCTGCTATATAAAATTACTAGTACTGCCTGTTTCGATTAAACGTTCAATATATAATTATATAAAGTGAAACTTGTGCAGAAGTGATTGCTTATTAAACGCTTCTTTGCACGGTTTAGAAAAGAAACGATTTTAAGTATGAAGGAAAGGCTCTCAGAAAATTATTGCTGCAGATACAATGTATTGTGATAATTTTAAGAATGTGTATTAGGGAAAAAAAATATCTGGGGGTCTACTTCTGGTATCGAGTCTATTCCGATTCAGAGTTAAGTGCGTTTTATCGGTTTTAACACTTTTTTTTTTGCAAAGGTGAAAATGTCTTTATTGTGGAGTTCAACACTGTCACATCGCAAACACTTAACGTTACCACATTAGGATACAGAAGTCGATTGGGGGGGGGGGGGGGCCTGATCCTTTCTTTAACCTATTCTCATGGCAGAGAAGGGAAACCAAAGGTTACTAAAGTTGCAATAGCTTTGGTGAATATCCAAAAGGATTCGATAGACAAACTGGAAATGTTCCAAAGGGGCTTTTGGGCCCCCAGTAAGCGTTACCCATTGTATAGATAATCTATTGTCTTCAGTTGCTTCTAAGAGATGGAAGCAGATGTTCGTGCCCTGCTGCAGAAAATGCCGAACATCTCTTACAGCCGGGGAACCTTCCCTGTCATTTTCTGATGATTTTCCTTTCCGGAAGGACAGGATACTATAATGTTAAATGTGATAAGCAGTATATATTGGATATTGATGCTTCTATTAGGCCTCTTAGACGACCTCTAAAAAAAAATGACGACGTATCTTTTCTTTTCTTTGGCAGCTTTGAAGATATGCTACAGATTAACTTTTGGGGGAATTCTACCTGTATTTAATAGGCTAGAGATAAACGACATGCAGTTTGAAATAATTGTTTAAAAATTAAAGAGCTCGAGGGAAATTTTTCGAAATTGAATTTGAATTGGCAATTCCTTTTCTCTGTGATCTCCTAAATGTTTTGATTCTACCCCAAAACAGTCTTAACGATCGCAAAAATAAGCAGTCTCTGAAAGATCACCCAGGGATCGCCCCAAGAGCACAAAAAGATGCAATAACGATAAAGATCTCTCAGATTTTTTTCAAAGAACAAAAACTACTACGAACGCCTAAAGATTCGAGAGATCATTGCGAGATCGCAGACCAGCTGAACTGACTAGCTATAGAGAATACATCGGAGATCTACGCGGGATCAACCATCTGCTAAAGATATCGTTGAGGGATTTTTTTTTTAGAGATCTTGGAGAATGAAGCCCCGTACCAACATTTTTTAAAAGTTGGGGGTAGACTCTAAAAGAAACTTTATGTATTAAAATTACGATAAAAGACTATATATACTCAGAAAAAGTGCCCCATAAGGGACTGGAATGGTGTGTGATTTGGGAGAGATTGCCGATGGAAAAATCCTCAATGCTTCATAGCACAAGCGTATCATGATCTCCTTTAAAATTATACAGAGACAGGCTTGTCGAGATGTTCAGAGATCGCTTAGAGAACGGACAAGCTTTGAATCGCCCCAGAGGTCTCTCAACCATCTCCATGTGTGTAAAGAGACCCCTTACATAGACAATTCGAAGTCATGCGAATTCAAAATTATTTACACATGCAGTAGTTCCAGAGAATTGAGGTTTACTTCATCAACTTTTTTGTGGATATAAAGAGGCAGCTCTGATATATTGAACTTGCACATATTTTTACCGTTTTTCTCCTCCCGGGACACACTGGGGTTTCCATGTTTTAAAGATAACTACGGCAATTTCACATCATCTCTACGTAAAAAATTACTCGAGCATTTGAGTTCAACACTGGAATTTGCTCAAGCTTTTATGAAAAGGAGTTATGAGAGTCAACATCTAGATTTTCTTTTCCAAGGTACATTTTTTCCCTAGGAAATTTCATTGATATCTCCTCCTTTTCAGTCAAATGAATCTAGATTTTTCAACATCAATGCTTACATCTATACTTTCAACATCATCGTGTGATGTGACAACATGCAGGACCTTTTTTTTTATTTGTACATCCAATTTAAAAAAAACAAACAAACAACTAGATAGAAGTGTTTTATTCATTGTTCATTTTTTTTTTTTTCATATAACTAAAACAATGGTTGTATAAAATACTTCTTCATTGAAACTATAATATATTTAATTTTTTCTGTATTATTTACAGCATAAATATGATTTTTATAATTATTTAGATTAATTACGGGTGCATCATCTTGAAGCGAGACTGACATACAGACTGACAGAAATTTTAGTCACAGTTAATATTCAGTTTCAAAATAGTAATTCTTTTTACAGATATTATCTTAAAAATGTTGAGAAAAGGTTAGAAATGGTGGTCTACTTATTTTGTTTTCTACAAAAATTAAAATCAACAAATAGTTTACAACTGAACACAGAAAAAAAACATGAGGAATACATAAATATAACCCATTCTGTGTAACAACAAAATATAACATACCGTGTACACATGGCTTGGAAAAAGATGAATTCGATGACTTTTTACACTTGGGTTTCTATTCAAAATTTCAATGAAACGAGAGGGGAAAAAATGAAGAAGGTTTTATTTAATGAATCATGTCAGTTTTTGGCTCAGCCATGTTAACACAACTGCACCACATAGTTACAACCAAGATGCCTATTGACTAGCTGTCAGAAGTAGAATGCTGAAATGAAACTACATGTATTCTCAACAATGTAAAAATAGTTTTAATTTCTATATCATCTAATGTTTAAGCAAGGGTGCAAAAAAGGGTCAACTAAAAACCACAAAGAGCAGAGTGCAGACACTGTGACTATAAACTCATGCATCTCATTACAAATGGCCTTTGTATAGGAAAGACCATTTTCAACCTTCACAAAAAACAAATCTGCCAAAGTGGTTGTAAACCTAAAATATATAAAATTCTAAAGAGGGGTATAAAAATAGGCATATACAATATAAATGTAAAATGGAAATCTATATATAGGTCATCTCTGATGATTGAAATATTTATGTTCTTTATAAAAAGAAGGAAAAAGGAGAAAAGTTTGATTTCATGCAAACACACTTTCTGTTAAAAAAAAGTAAAAACAAATACATGTACTAATTAATGGCATAGCAGTAAGATAAATATAAATATACATTTTATTTTTTTTTTATCATAAAAAAAAGAAATCTGAGTAAATTTTTGCTTCAACATTTTTAATAAAAAATTTCAGTGGTGTTTTTTAATTCCCCTTTTTTATAAATTATCAACAACAATAAATTAAAACAGCACTACCAGATATCAACCAACACACGGTGCTAATTACACTCCAATTTAGAAAGACTTAGTCTTCGGAGGTATTTTCTTTGCAAAACATATCTTATCTACTGGCTTTAAAAACAATCTCAACACCAAATACCATTAAAAAACATTAACAGAAACACCAAAAAGAGTGGTGTTGTCAGATGAGGAATTAAAAGATCAAAGAATTTTGACTTTAGTAAAACATCTGTCAAACAAATACTGGTACGTTACAATAATGTTTCACTTCATAACAATGAGATTTTTACATTTGATGAAATGTATTGCCTCTAACAGTGGTTAATAATGGTGTATTTTCACAGTAAAATCACATTCAGCAAAATGATCTTTAAGAACAGAAATAGTACTGACTTATTTTTTCAAATGCAATCAATAAAGCATATTGTACAGTGCAAAACTCCAATAACAGGTGACATATTGAATCAGGCAATAAATAATTCATTATGTACAAATTTGACAAATTCTCCATTCATCTGTTACGTAAAAATCCTTTTCCTATCACGTTGCTCCAGTTATTAAGAAAAAATCAGCAACAGGCTTTAGTTACTGAAATGACTACTTCCCCTTGTTTTTCCAGGCCTGCATAGACACAAAGAAAATGTTTATCACAGATAGATGAACATTCAGAATCCAACAAGGCGTCATCGTATAACGGCTGCTTTAGTACTTCGAGTATGAGGGACTGATCTGGAAAAGAGAAAATACCACAATTAAATAATTAATTTTTGATGCACAGAATTTTTTTTTTTACCTTTCCAAAGTTTCTCTTGGAAAGAGCAAGACTGCTGGTATGAAAGATAAGAAATTTCAGGCCTGTCTCCAATGAGAAGTATCGAAGCACAGACAGCAAAGCTGATTTTAATCAAGAAACCGTTCCTCTTTTCAGAGGGTAACAGATTTTAATATTTTTATTTAAAATTTCTAATTACTGCATACATATTGTTTTCATCTGCAGCTATAGTACTTTTAATTTTTTGTTAAAAAGTCATGTACAAATGCTGTATACTATTCAGTCACTTCAAAGCCCTTTCCTCCACCATTAGTTCTCAACAACATTGTCAGTACACAATGCTATTGTCCAGTAAGACAACACACCGGACAAATCAAATCACACACAATCATTTTTATACATTTAGGAAAAAAAATATCAGCTGTCTTTTCAAGGAAAACATTGAAATTTTTAACAAGCTGTAACCTAATAAATAGGAACTTGGAATATAGTATAAATGGAAAAAAAAGATAGAAATTCATTTGAAAAATATCAACAATTTGGAAGGTTTAAAGGGCAATGACCAAATAAAAATAATCTTGCAAATACAATCCCCTCAGCTGGAGGAATGAATGGAGAAAAAAATCAAAGCATTTCAATGCATTCTTTGATCTATTCAAGCCAATACCAATATTCTGGCCAGGTCCCAAGTATAATGCAAAAAAATCAATCCCTACCAAACAACACATGCCAAAAGCTGCATTGCTATTGGACATATTCAATACAACACATTTTTTTGAAGTGATATAAATATGTTTACAAATGAATCATGACACTAATTATGTTTCAATTCTAAATCCCTAAAGGTCAACAGTATCAGGACAAAGACGTAATGAAAATGTGCATTATTTAATGCACTGGTAAATTAACAGACAAATCCAACATCAATAATGCCACTATTTTGACTTAAGCTGGGTATTTAAATTTGTTGTCACCATTTGATAATACACACACCAGCATACCTTATTGCATATTTACACTGAAAGCACCTATGTAATGCATACACATTTTCTCACTCAAATATAAAAAGCCACAATTTTGCCACACTTACAATCTCCACATAGTCTTAATTAAACTTACTGGATAAGTAAATATTAGATGCTGTGTTTGCCAACAGTTGCATTTTCAATGCCAAAATTAGAAACACTTAATAGACACCACTTGAGTGACAGTTTACATACATCCAAAAACACAATTCAAATCAAGATAGACAAAAACAATCAAGCTGGAATGCAATACTTGTAAGAAGTCTGTAATCTAGTGAATTCTTTTCCTAACCTAGGCTTAAAGCTATTTTGCAAGGATACAAGAGACTAATAGAGCTATATAGTAGTTAAGTTGGCAGGGTTAGCAGGAGAGAACTTTTGTATGGTACTGTAGTAGTAGTAGTAGTAGTACATGTATGTAAATATATGTATCTATGAGGGGGGGGGGAGCTGCTTAACTAGTTCACTTACTGTAGAGGAGCGAAATTTGTAGGGCCAATCGCTGCCAGTGGAAGCCAAGACATCAGAAGTTTTGTACAGGTTGCTTTTATAATGATCCTTGTTGTATGGCCTATTATCTATGTAGTCATCATATCGGCTTGAGCTGATAAGGCAAATAAATATGAAGCAGACTGTAGCATAAGTTGGTCTCAGTTAACAGGCTTTCAATACACAGACACCAAGAAACAGACAAGCATAGCGCTTTTAATATGAAATTTCTTTAGGAGCTATATTGTACTTTCTTTTCGCATTAAAAAAATTTGAGAAAAGCAAGCAAGATACATTTTATTTTGCTTTATTCAATTCCATAATTACCATTATAGAGATGCCTTTTTGCTATTAATTGCCATGGTGAATGTCGCTTCTTGCGAAGATACAAAATTCAAAAAAAAGAACTTATTTTGTTGTTTAGTATTTTAGTATCCAATGGTATTCAGTAATCTTCTATATCCTTTTTTTTCAAATATATCCAAAATTGTATCTTTGAAAACTTCCAACTCATTTGTAAAATGCAACACAACCACACCACATACAACTGTTAGCAAAACAACAGCAAAAGAAAGATAAAACCAAACAATCAGCAGGACTATGGATGGTAAAAAAAAAAAAAAAATTGGGACACTAGCACTGACAATACTGGTGAAATGAGACCGAAGTGACAAAATAATGACCAAGGTAAAATAATGATGATAGAATCAAATGAAAACCATCAATGTTTACATACACATCAAATGCACATACAGACAACATCAATCGCCAGCAAAGATGTTTCTTTTTTGTCATGGAAAATGTCAAAGTCATGCAGAAGTCAGACCTACTACATAAACATTCTCATAAAATGAAACTCATTGAATGGCATGACAAAACATTGAACAGGTTTCAATTTTTATTTCTTATTATCAATATTTTCCTGCCTTTCAAGGCTTATCGTATAAAGAAATACGATACTTTTTGAATATGAAATATCATATTATGAAATCCTTGTCTATCTGCTGTTTATTGTGTTAATAGTTAGAGATGTTAATGAATAAAGATTTAGGTAGGATGAAAAGTCACAGATTTTTATATCTGAAATCCAGTTGTTAATCGTATTTTTTTTTAAATTTTGAACAAACGGTTATAGATTTGGGGATAAGGGGGAAGTAACTTTAAAATAAAAGAATTATAAACGGATGATCATTTTTCTGTATTAAAAAATAAACCAAAAAAAAAAAAATCAAGCTTTACCGTTAATATTCAAAGCCAGTGGTAATAAAATAATATATTTACCAATGAAAAAAAAAATTAGATAAGAAGCATGCTTAGATGTGAAACCAAAATGTGAAAACTTGGCGGTTAATGTTGGCCTACTCTAGAATAACAAGGCCATACCTAGCAGCCAAGGCTTTCCTCAGATTATATGTATGCGAGTGGTATTTTCTACAAAATCAGAGAATTAGCAAATCACACTTGTGTATTACTATTTGAAAAAAAAAAATTATATATTAAACACTGGAACATTTTGATAAGTGTTAATCTATTCATGGAGAGGTTCCTTTCTTTTTTTTCTTCAAAAATTAGAAAATGTTATCAACAAAAAGAGTCGCATAAAAATCTAAAAAATTTGCAAGCTTAGAGACATGAATTGAATCATCTGATTTAAAAATGTTAATTTCATTTTAAAGCACTACTCTAAGAAAGACTGCTACATGCATTAATGCTTTTCAGTTGAATTTTAAAATAGAGTAATTAATGGAAATAGCAGAATCCCTGCCTAGGAGTTGATATTAAAAAAAGTTTGAAAGTAAAAATTCATAATTTAATTATAAGATGCTGGCATTTCCTTCTGCCAACACAACAATGTACAGATAGAGGGATATTTGAAACTCTGGTGAGAACAAGGACACTTAAGTGTGCTGATGTGCCTGCTGGAGGCACTGTCCTACCTTTTGGCACTGGATGAGCCTGTACCATGCCTGGTACTCCGCTTGACTGAGGAGGCATGGTTGTTAATGACGGTGCTAACTTTGGAGGCTTTAAGTGGAGACATGGGAGCCGCTGAAGAGTGAGCACTTTTGGTACCGCTTGTCCTGTAGACTTGGGTGGTCGACCTTTTGTGACCTTTCCCATCTTCATGCCTACAGTCAAGAGAGCACCATGGGAAATGTGATGTGATGGGGTAAAAAATGCAATTGTGGTGATTATTTTTATTTCCACATGCAGAGGGTATAGGGATTTAAAAAACATGTATATTAACAAAGCTAGAAAGATTGCACATGAAATCTGTTTCCACATGTCCACAGAACTTCACAATTTAAACATAAGGTTTCTTTTTAAGCACTGGATGTTAGATACTGGGTTTTAAGACTTTATAAGCAGAAGATAGATGAAATGCCTTTCAAGAAAGACTGAGGGATAAATGTAAACATTCAGTGGTCCTCGGACCTTTTCCTTACCCTAATGCTCCAGTGGTCGCAGACCGAGAGTGGTGTTGCCGTAGCAGCTTCATCTGATTTAGTTTGTCGCCCTGAGTTTCTATCATGCTGCCTCTCGTAATGGGACCACTATACAACTACAACAATAAAGAAATTTTTATCAGATATAGCATACAATAATTTGGCAGCTGCAAAAATAAGAATGTTATGCAATAAACAACTTTTTTAAACAAAAATTTTATAAAGCCTACACTGAATCTTTAAAGTATCTGTTAATCAGTCAGAGATAGGATGGAAACAAGCTACTTAACATTATTAAATGTCATTATTTGGGGTTATCTAACCTTCGTCACAATTTTCAAAACTAAACTATTTATTATTTTGAATCCACTGATATTCACACAGCTTCCTTCTTGTTCTTGGAGTTCATAATCTTAAGAGAATGCTTAAGACAGCAGAAGTAAAACGACTTCATTCAAGACCCTGACAGCTAAATTCTATTCCAGAAATAGGCTTTTATCAGTTTCATCTAGGTAAAAAAACAATAGAAGTGTTAAAATCCTTACGTAATCATCATTTTCGTCTGACCGATAGTTTTCTAACTCTATGGCATCTTGAATGCGCATATCGTCCATTGTGGTCAGAATCTTGGAGACACTGTGGTGTCTTTCTCGTCGTTTGTCATCCTTGTTGCGGGCCCTGTAAAGGTCTCCCTGCATCCACATTAGTGACTGCTTCCTGTTCAGAAAAATAATACATCTTTTACTTGAGGTAAATCAATTACGTAAAAACAAAAATAGTTTTTCACACCAATTTTTTACATAATTTTTTCTTTAAAAAAATTCATTTTACAAAGTAGTGATCATAAAATTAATTTGTTCAATATTTTCTGAAGTGATTTAGATCTGAATATTTCAAAAGGATGTATTAATCTCAGGACACAGTGCACTTACTCCTCCAAGAAGTTTTGCTGAGGCCCTATTATGGAGCCCGGCCGACAAATTCTGCACCATGCTATACACTCTGCAGCAGTGAATTTGTAATGCTTCATCATGTAACAAGCTATTAAAGTTCCTGTACGTCCTAGACCAGCTGGAAAAAAGAATGTTCTATTTACACTCTTGACCAAGTTGGCCCTCTTTATTCTAGACTTTCTAATATAATTTACTTTAGAAAATTACCAAGAGGTACCATCTTCTTAAAATAATTTTATGAAGAGCTGAAACGTTCGAGTAGATTTTTGAAACTTTGATTAAATCTTTTCAACTTGTGTCAATATTGTTTATACCTTTACAATGTACAGCAACAGCACCTTCTGCATTTTCAGATAATTCTATGAACTGCCTGACTATATTATCACTAGGTGTACTCCCGTCAATAAAAAATAGGTCATAGTGATCAAAGCCTGCATCTGTGAACCGCCTGGCATCGTAAATCTTCTTATTTAACCTCACAATTGTGGTCACGTTATGCTTCCTGAAGTATGGGAAGTATGCTTCTGGAGCATGCAGTGGGTACCCTGTGAGAAAAAAAAGCAGTAATATAAAACCTAGAGAAAAACACAATCCATATTAAAAAGCAAAATCTTGACAATCAACATCAAAATGGTATAGGTCCAGAACAAAATTACTTTAAATTTAGATTTCTTTACATATACCATATTTGCCCAAGTAAGTGTCAAGGACTCTTTTAAAATTGGAAAGGGGTGACATTTATTTTTTTTGCTTGTTATGAAGTTCTCTGTCCCAAAAAGGAGATAGGATGACATTAGAAAACACTGAACAGTAATAAAACAACAATCCAGTAGGGTAATAAGCAAGGTTCCCCATCATTTAAAATTTTACTGAGGCTCAAAACATGTGAACAGCATTTTCTGAGATCAATAACAATTATTAGGGATATCAAATATGTACATAGTTTTTATTTATATTAATTTCATCTTTTTTTTATTCATGAATAATTATCCATCTACTAAGCAAGCCCCAGTAACAGTCAATAGAGATGGAACTTAATGAGGCATAGTGGTTAACTGTGGTACAGAGAAATTTATGAGTACACAGTAAAAAGGCTTAAGGAGAACTTTGTCCAATGATGCTTGGAGATTAGGTAAGTCATATCAGAGATGAAATTAAATCAAAAATGCAAAATAATCAATAAAAATTGTAACTTTCATGTGTTCTTCATGCTCACATAGACAGAAGTGAAAATTCTAAACATAAAAAGAGATATAGACAATTCTTTTGATGAATGCACTTGTTTAGCTGTAATTGGATATGTGCCTCAATATTAAGTGGGTGGGGTGAGGGCTATTTTTTTTAAAGTTAAAAATCACAAGTTGGGGTGCTTACTTGGGCAAATATGGTAATTACTTTTATTAGTGACATCTCCACAACTTTAAGAGTAAATCAGTAATGCATAAATATAAAGCAATGAGAAAAGTCAGAACATACAAGGATAATCTCACGCTAGAAGAGGACTAACTGTTCTCTTAACAATATTAATAAAACTAGCTCTGCATTAATGTGAAAACACGACTTAATTCAATCAATCTAAACACAGTGACACATTAATAAAACTAATATGCACCTAATTTTTCCGTCAATTCCTCATAAATCTTTTTTTGAATATGCATAATAATGATATACATTTATTTTACAAAGATTCATTTGTTTTAAGATATCCCTTTTATTTTTGCATGAAATTTGTCTATAACAGAGTAGAGACTAAGACAAAATTAAGTTTCTTGCCCAGACATGCTTGAACAATCTAAACTACAATAGCAACTAGTGAAATACACAGGGGAGTATGGCCCCATGTGAGCTATGCTAGATACGTATAATAATGGGGGTGGATGCCCCCCCACAATTTACTCATCAGTACCATCCTCCATTTTGCTCTTGACATGGGGCCCACTAAAAGCCACCATTTTATGAGGAATGATCCAATTAAGGTCCCCATTTTCAACTCTCTAGAGGAAGAAAAAAAAATGACAATATATCTTCAGACTTAGCAAAACTATTTCTGTCCAAATTTCGCCCTGACCTCCCTGAACTGCTTTGACCTATCTGCACTGTGGAGAAAACATTGGTTAGTATTATTACCATTCTCAATCTTTGTTTTAGGGTGTGGTCCACAAAATGCCAGAAATTTGTTTGGCACAATCCAGTTGAAGTCCCCATTTTCTACTTTCTACAAAAGAAACATTGTTTATGGAAAAACAGACATTGAATATGTAACAAGAGGCCCATGGGCCACATCGCTCACCTGAGCACATTGGCTAGGCAAAAGCACAAATCAGTTCAGTATTGAAAAGACCGGGGGAGGGGGGGGGGGGGGGGGCTTGAATTTTAAACTACCTGATGATGCTTCCATGTCAATGTAACAAATGGCTTTGTTGTACTTGAGAAGATTTTTAAAAAATTCCCATATACTCCTTTGTAAAAATTTGATCCCCCATTGTGACTCCTCCCTATCCCAGGGGTCATCATTTGAACAAACTTGAATCTACACTACCTGAGGATGCTTCCATATCAATATGACTAAACATAGCTTTTCTGTTCTTGAGAAGAAATATTTCCTCTTTATGTTCTTATGTTAAACTTTCCATTCCCCATTGAGCCCCACCCTACCCCTGCGGGTCATTATTTGAACAAAATTGAATCTACACTACCTGAGGATGCTTCCATATCAAAATGACTAAACATGGTTTGCAGTTCTTCAGAAGAAGATATTTTCCTTTATATTTCTATGTAGAACTTTGATCCTCCATTGTGGCCCCGCCCTACCCCCAAGGGTCATGGTTTGAACAAACTTGAATCTACACTACCTAAGGATGCTTCCATATAAATATGACTCATCATGGCTTTGCTGTTCTTGAGAAGAAGATTTTTAAAGATTTTTCCTATATATTTCTATGTAAAACTTTGATCCTCCATTGCAGCCCCACCCTACCCCCGGGGGTCATGGTTTTAACAAACTTGAATCTACACTACCTGAGGATGCTTCCATGTAAATATGACTCATCATGGCTTTGCTGTTCTTGAGAAGAAGATTTTTAAAGATTTTTCCTATATATTTCTATGTAAAACTTTGATCCTCCATTGTGGCCCCGCCCTACCCCCAGGGGTCATGATTTGAACAAACTTGAATCTACACTACCTGAGGATGCTTCCACATAAATATGATTCATCATGACTTTGCTGTTCTTGAGAAGAAGATTTTTAAAGATTTTTCCTATAGATTTCTATGTAAAACTTTGATCCTCCATTGTGGCCCCGCCCTACCCCCAGGGGTCTTGATTTGGACAAATTTGAATGTACACTACCTGAGGATGCTTCCACATGAGTTTCATCTTTCCTGGCCCTATGGTTCTTGAGAAGAAGATTTTTAAATGATGCCATTATTTTTTCAGTAATTCCTAATTATCTCCCCTTGAAAGAGGGCGTGGCCCTTCATTTGAACAAACTTGAATCCCCTTCACCCAAGGATACTTTGTGGCAAGTTTGGTTGAAATTGGCCCAGTGGTTCTTGAGAAGAAGTCGAAAATGTGAGAAGTTTACAGACAGACAGACGGACAGACAGACGGACAGACGGATGCCGGACAAAATGTGATCAGAAAAGCTCACTTGAGCTTTCAGCTCAGGTGAGCTAAAAATGGAGTCCTTTCAATGGTACATCTTGCAACATGAACATGTTCAATGTTTAACACAATTTTGCATACTGCCATCCACCACCATTTTCGTTGAAAAAAAAAAAAAAAAAAAACGAGCCAATTTCAAGATTTAATAAACAAGATCATTTTCCTCAGTATGAACTGTTGCTTTGTTTTCTGTATGCAAAAAATGATTTCAGTTTAGTCAAGGTTTTGCAGCAAAAGCAGGTGTTCAAAAATTCGCCAACAAAGATAATGGTTCAACAATTCATACTTCAAATGATAGTTATGATACAAAGTCTGCTTTGGAAATAGTGCTACTTTAATGTGAAAGTTTGAAAGTTTAGGCAATGAGGATGTGACTGTATCACAAGAATTCAGCTAAATACCACTGCCAGTAGATCACCACCAAAGATCAAAATTGTCATAGGGTATGTTATTGAAATATCAGTAATTATTTTTACATGCATTTACAACTCCTTAGTTTAGTATTGTGCATTTTGATTTGAAAAGAAATCATAAAAATCTATTTGAAATATTTTAAAAGTGTTTTTGAAATACTAAAACAATTGAAAAAAAAAGAAACACAATATTTCATTCCCAAGATTGGTAACTCTATCATAAATTCTAGGTACAAAGGAACAGTTACTTTGTTTCCCCCTAGATGCGAGAATTCAATTCATTGATAAACTCATTATTCCACCATGATTTCTAAATTACAAAAGGTGGCAGTTTATGTAAATGTTACTTTGTATTATTATACAACACATCACTTAAAATGTTCAAATGCTTAAGTTCTGGCAATTTCTGATAAAAATTTGCTATTTACTTTAAAATAATATTAAAATCCCTTTACATCAAAATGTCATGTTCTTGGAATACTTGCACTTGTATCACTGAAATCTATAATGCCATTATTTTGTCATAATTTTATCAAAGTACATATTTTATTACATAAATTATTAAACACCTCTCTGAAGAAAGACAACCTTACACATGTTACATGAATTTTATCTCTTCTCAGACACAGATTATGCTCTATGCCCCCTAGACAGTGTACAGATGACATTTGTAAAGCTGCATGTTTGTCTCTAAATCTTTTCTTTTTACCATTTTATATGTTTTCTTTAACCTTTGGCAATATATATACAGCTCTACAATCTGGATGTTGCAAAGTTTTTGTTGGGTTGGGATTTTTTTTTTTACAACAGAAAAGTTACCTCATAATGCTCATATTCATCCACATCAAATGTTTCAAAATTGAAGAAACCATTAGCCAATGCCTGGAAAGAAATATAAATAATTAGGAATACATTACTTACAATGTACCCTAATATTTTGCCGAAATGAAGTTTATCACAATCAGCAGTCAAATTAAAATATTTAACTTTACTGACATTTTGTTAAAATATTAATATTGAAATAAGTTGCATTAACCACCCCATTTTCAAATTTTAAATGTACTGCCCCTAAACAAACATTTAAATTTGCTTACCTTACTGAGTCCATGCAAACAGTCTAGTAATGTTAGATTGTAGGAACAGGCCCCAAATGATGCATCCCTGTATTAATAAGGAAATTAATCAACATAAAACCATTGTTAATTGCCTTATTGAAATAATGTCAATGATAAAAAAGGATAAAAAGAAGGAAAAAATATGCCATATTTTTATAAATAATCATTTATTGCATTAGAACTGTCGTATAATTATCTTTGAAAATATATTAATGTCACATACCTAAATGGAAGAAACGGGGGATTTGAACCAGCTACTAATGGTCGATAAGCTTCCTCTGGGGTTTTCTTCAAATATATTATCTGTTAAAAAAAAACAAAACCAATCATCTTCATTTTTCTACTACTGACATACAAAAAATAGTTAACATTTTCACATTATTATTTTTTTTCTTCTTCCAGATATTGAGTTCAATAAATTATTTTTTTTTAAGAAAACTTGAATTCCAATTTCAACTGTTTATCCATTTAATTTATCCGTGAATCTACCCATGAATAACTGTTTTTCAATATGCTACTATTACAGAATTTCAATACTTGAACTTACTGCATATGCTGAAATGAGAAATGCAGCATTAGCTCGCTTCCTAGCATCAAAACTTGTGTAGTGAATGATCCTCTTCTTTGCAAGTGAAAAAGACTGCAAAGAAAAAGCATACATTTTTGTCGGTGCATCTTGTAATAATTAATTGGGTGAACGCTTTCTCTGCCAACAGATAACATACCTCCAACACCTGTTCTCATGCAGCAACATCACAATTACAACCCTAGCTGCTAAGTTTGTTTACATGGGCTATTTTTAGCATTAGTAAACAATACTGAACTTTATACACTGTTCTGGTCAAAATAATATACTCAAAAGCAGATTATTTTTATGATGTGTAACATGTAAATTTCTGAAATTTTCCTTATTATCATGATCAGCTTTTAACCTTCTACATCTTTTGATCTACCTGAACAAACTCCATAATATGTGATTTTTCAAAAACTAAGTATCCAAATTTCTAATTACCTTTAGCTTTTTATTCAGTTTACAACAATATCTGTACAGTTGTGCCAAATTCAATGGTCCAAAATCTGCATAAAAACTGGAAAAAAGAACAGACTCTTAAAAAAATAACAACAACACAAAAAACATGGAAATCCTTGACCTAAACCCAATTATTTATATTAGCATAAAGTGTACCTTCACTGATGAAAATAAATAGGTCAGGAGTATAGGTAAACACAAATTACACACAAACACTTTGCAGTTATGTCAAAATATGACCTATTGATAGATTTATGTGACAGAAGTAACTGAATACATTGTATATTGATAATAGGTTGGTGCAAACATGTATATATTGCATAATGAGTGTGATAAGTTCCTTGACTAAACATAAATATAATCCAGCTATCTATAGCCATTAGTCACCAAAATCAATTTAGTGTAACTGTTATTACAGGGTGTCAGTGGCTTATAAGTTCATATCCATTTATTTTTTTTAATACTGCAAAGATGGCCAAAGAGTTTATCTTTTGAAACATGCTGTAAAATACAAATATTAACTGAAAACAAGCCAAAATGTGTGGAGTGTTTTTGGCACAATGCCAAACTAAAATCTTCGTTTAACACTGGTTATTTTTAATACATTTTATATGATCCTTATGCATGCTCTTGGCCCTCACTCTTTTATAATGACCACATGAAAACTTTGAGACAGCAAGGAAATATTAAATCAAGCAATAATGGAACATGTACATATTTACTTCCTACTTTATATCATCCTGTGACACAGTGACAGTGAAAAAAATGTTAATATATTCATAAACATCTGGGATTTATAACATTTGTAAATGATTACAATATAAATTAATTTTTTTTTTGTTGCTATTATTTATAAGGAGAGATGAGGAGTTAATCAAAAGGGGTATTCAAAGATCTTACAAGGGTACACTATTACAGTTTACTTACATATAGATTACAACTTCATCAGTATTATAATTTTAACAGGTTGGGACCATTCACCAAAATGGGAATTTTTTGCACTATGATTTGTATCCCATTTGGAATTTGGTAACCCAAACAGGCTATTATATTCTATTTTGTCAAGTCCCAACTTGTTTAAAGCTAGGAAAAAAGTAAATGTTCAACAATGATCATGACTTATGACCACTACTATCAATAAATTGATGTGTTGATGCTAACTTTACCATTCTTCTATGACAAATGTTAATTCTTGACAGAAGTAGATTATTGGCATATATTTTACTGATATTCCTATACATATTTTCAAAGTTTGCTAAAAGAAAATATCAATAAGTTAATACAAGGATGAAGAAACAATTGGGGAAAAAAGATGTTATATTAAAAAGACAATATTAATGCCTGGATGTAATAAACTTATTAAAGGTTGGGGGTTCAAGTTTTTGGAATTGTTGTTATATTTACAAATTGAAAAAAGAGTATGTTTGGGCTATCACCCCTTCTTGGAAGGAACGGTCGGTCACTTTGAAAAACACACTAATCATAATTACCAGCCTATCAAGAAATAGCATATAAAATTATATGACCACTATTAGTAAGCCTAACATGCATTTTCTTGTACATCAAGCATGGTGTTAACTAAATAGCATATTTATTATTATTATAATTATTATATTTGCAGAAAATTTTTCTTATTAAAAAAAGTTTTCTATATCATAGAATTAAATAAAAGAACTTACTTTTCATACACAAGCTCATCGTCTACACAGAAATAATGGGTGTGTGCTGTAGACCTTGGCTTCGTTCTTAATGTAGCAAAATATAGTCGATCTGAAATTCAAACAAAAACTTAAGCATCTGTGAGTAAATACACATTTCAAGGTTCACTGAAACCTTGTCGAGACATGTTTAGATTGAAAGGGAAAATGCACAGATCATTTCATGACATAAATAATTTTGCTGCTTATAAATTTCTTCTCACCTTTAATGAACTCGGAAGCACTCCCAATAATATCATTTTCATCGGCCATTCTTCAATAAAGCTATCACTTTCCTTTCGAGATAGCCGAATAGGTCAATTTTCCTCTTGCAATCGTTAGCAATTATTCTATGTTTACCTGGTATAATTCAAATCTTTCCAGATAGTATAAATACACTATTTCACAACAAAATGTTTCTTTAAAACCCTGTAAGTCTCCATGTAGTTAAAATATCCGTGTAAAACTTGCTTATAAAAAGAATTTGTTAAAATTATCGACCCCCCTTATCGTTGCCAAACTTGACGGCCATGTTTGAACTGGAGCAAAGTTAAGTGCAAAAGATCACGTGATCAGGCTCTAGGCCAATAGTAGATTACACAACAATTGTCGTCATGGGGATATCATAGTCTGACCAATGAAATTTTTGTTTATAGTTTTCAATGGAAACACCAACATCTGTCAATGATTATTAATTTCATCAATTAACATAATTGGAAAGAAGGGGGTTAATTTGATTAAATGTGTTAATAAAATAATTTGAAATTTATTTCTAAGCGTTGTAGTTACGTCATTTTCTATAGATTTATCTCATACATTGGTAAAATATAGAAAATACACATAAAGATTTTTTTACGCTGACGCAATGAATTGTTTTTACATTGAAAATGAAAACAAAATATTTCTAAAAATTTGATACTATCCTTAGCATAAAAGAAAGTATTATAGACATATATAAAATTTAAATATAACTTTCTCGTTAATTTTCTTACCCATATATAGAAAGCACATTGAAATCAGTTTCGGAGGACACAACTTAACAAATTTAGTGAGGAGGCCTTAAAAAAATTCTTTGAATATGAAAAGGGGATTGAGGTCTCATCAGGGCGTTATATATTGTAAGGAGGTATACATCCATTATAGTTACATGTAGCTTCCTGTAGTATATATACTAACTTGCAACATTATTGGGAGGGGGCATGCACTCCTTCCGTGTCCTTTGGTTCTCGTCTGGCCTGATTTTTTAGTCTCATGATACATGCATCAAAAAGATCATATACAGATGGGTCATGTATATGTCTCTAGGAACATAATTCATTTTTTCTCACTATAAGGAACGAAATGTACGCGTCATACTAGCAAAATTTAAATTTCTAAAATCTATTTGGCTTTGTGTTTCGAACGACTTTTTGTTTGCAAGAGGTAATTAAACTGTCAATTTTTACTACAATTTCAAATGAATTTCTATAATTTTTCTTACAAATACGCTATAAAAACATTACTTAACTTTTTTTGTTCATTTTTTTTATATAGTGTGAATTAAGCGTGTTTAGATGCCGTAGTTTAACTTTTTTTCAACATTTTTTAGACTTCCTGCAATTGTTATTTTATAGTTAGAAGAAATAAATGAAAATTTTCTTGAATTTATAGTTATGTACCAAATACCGGTATTTTAGTCTCCGTATTACGATATGTATCACGTGCAATAACAAATCACGATATACCGGTATACCGATAAAATCGTGCATCCCTAGTAATGGGGGTTCAAATGAAGGGCTATGCCCCCATTCAAGGTGAGATAAACAGGAAAAACGGAATAGGGTATGGTCGTTTAAAAAATCTTATCAACAACTAGTGGGCCAGAAGAATTGAAACTTAAGCTTTTATTGGAATTCATTAGCACAGCCGGTATTATTACACCTTTAAATTGTTCTTTTTTAAGTCAATTAATACAACATGTTCGTTTACTGCGAGATGGTGGACCGCTATGACGTTTTTAACGTCACACTCAATTTGCAATCTTAATCTTCGGCGTAGGGGGATCATCCGACATGATTCAAGATGTATGATCTTTGCATTTGTTGGTGTTAGAAATGTCTGATATAAATCCTCATTGCAGGAAAGTGAAATATTAAAAAAAATCCACTGTAGACATAAAGGCCAGCAAAAGGTTTGGATAAGAAACAACGTACATAAGAAACAATTTTTAGAGGTATATCAAAACTTTTATTGACTGAGTTCGTGGGAAGAATGCGTTTTACCGCATGCACATATATTTTGGAGAGTGGAGATCCAGCCTTGCATGGTTAAAAGAGGGAAAAAGTTCCTTACACAGTCTTTCCACTGTGTGCCATTTGCCATTCTTCATTGCATATTTCCCTTAAATTACCTTTGATTATCATGATTTTATCATTATGTAGACTTTCTAAAAAACTACTATATAACAACAATTATCAAAATAGTTCAATTTTATTAACAATGAAAAAGAGGAAGATAACGAGCAGTGATCAAACTCATACTCCAGTAAAAAGAATACGAATCGTGACGAAGGCAAAACACAAATCCCTGGAAACCCTAGAGGAGAGAACGAGCGCCTAGGAGGGATAATCATACCCAGTCAACCGTGTGCACACCCGGTCGCTTTGAGCCCTCTGCATTGATCAAGTAAATGGAGTAACCCGGCCTAGTCGAAACGAAAAAAAGCCTAACAATTGGTGGGAAACGTCAGTCAAAGTACGACCCAACGATAGGTTGTACAAATATTTGCAAACATGGTCATTTTAACGACCACAAAATATGCCAAATACTGAAAACCCTGCTACATCAACTTATTTGCTAGTAGCCTGCACCAGTTTAAAAATTGACCGTACCCATAACATGCTCGGCAGTATCGAATCAGTCTGGTGACACCTCCCCCGGTAAACACACTGCAGCGGACAGTGAAATATTAATTACTACATAAATCGGGAAAGTTTACGATGTTCGTCGTATAGTTTAGGTATTAAAATGGCCATTCACGTCTATATTCAGTAAAACATCCAAGTAAGAATGAGATGTTGCAGACCCAAGTATGTTGCAGACCCCAAGTATATTTCTCCAATCCCTTTCAACGATAAAAAAAAAATAACTTCAGCGAAATAAGCTAGTTGCAAACCTTTAATACGTGAAGAATGGCATCATTGCATATCATTATTCTATGTAAAGAGGTGTACATGTATTCCGGCCATTATAAGACAGACTCTTACAAGATAGACAATTATAGCTCAATAAAATGATTTTTTTTCCTATTAAAGACTTGCGCCACCTAATTAAAATTAGCTCCTACGCTTAATTATTTTAATTAGGCTGAAGAATTGCCTTAATGAGCATAACAAATAATAAAACGTAGGGGCTAATTTAATTTAAATAAACATAATTAATTAGTGTCAATAATTAATTGAATAATGTTCAGAAAGTTGGGTTTCACTTTGAACAGGACATTTTTAAAATAAATACTGGCAAAATTTTTTTTTTTTACTAATTAATATTTGTTTTGTTACAATCTTATCTAAGCTAACACTGTTGAAAATATTGTCTTTAAAAAATAATAAAGAAGATTGAAAATATTGTCTTTAAACGCACTCTGTAAAAGACAATTACATTAATTTGTATAAGATTTTACTGCGCCTTTGTAAGAGACTAAGATCACAGGACCATGAAGCAGCCTTAGAAATAAATGAAAAAAATTGTTATTCATAAAATGAATATTAATTATAAACTTTTAAAAGTATCAAGTTTCCTAAATCTCATTTATCCAAAGGTGATTTGAGCCAAGTTTGATTAAAATTGGCTGAATGGTACTGAAGAAGTTGAAAATGTGAAAAATTAACAAAAAATGACTGCAGATGGTCAGCACACTTTGATAAAAAGCTTATATCAGCCTTTGCCTCAGGTGACCTAAAAAAATCAAATTACTTTGACTTCATTAAAAAAATTTGTGATTTCCAAACACAAAATCATAAATATTTTATTTATTAAATACATTTACAGTCATAAAAATAAGCAGACAATGTAACACAGTGGATATATATATATATATACATGTATATGATTTCTTGAAGATGGAATATCACAGTGTCACAATTTACTGGAATACTTCACAATTGTAGAGGATGAACAGAGATACTTCACAACTGTAGAGATAAAATAGACCACAATTGTATATACAGAAGACACTTCACAATTGTAGAGATAGAATAGAGATACTTCACAACTGTAGAGAGAGAATAGAGATACTTTACAACTTTAGAGATAAAGGTCAGTCTGATGTTAATACCCATTTCAATAAATTGACAATCTGGGTAGTTGAGTAGTTGAATGCTTTGGCTTTGTAAACTGCAGATCAGGAGTTTGAACCTTTTGTTATTTCCATAAATAACAAAAGATAATCATATTTATCTAGACTTTCCATTAATAATTATAGTTTTTTCTCTAAGTGTGTTATATCTCTTTCAAACTCTTACCTGAGAAACAGTGTAATTAACAGTTACTATACATAATTAAGTAATGTACAAAATATTAAATCAATTCAAAGTCTGTCAAAAAACATTAAAAAAAATTGTTGAATGGATATACACTAATGTTAATACTCTGAAAAAAAAGTTAGCAGAAAATAGTCATACATAAAATTACATTATAATTATATGCATCACATTTCAAACATTGTCAACAGAGGTTAAAGTGAAAGAAAATTTTTATGATATGTAATATATACATCATGTATATGTAAAACTTAACAAGGGTGTAGAAATACATGTATTAACATACAATTCCTTATAAAAAACTTATAAATATATACAGTCAAACCCCGTTATCTCGAACTCGATAGAACTGAGAAAAAATTTTGAGATATCTGAGGGTTTGAGATATCGAGGGTAAAATACTTAAGAAATACATGGTAAGGATTTTCCAATCACTTTGACATATCCATGATATTCGACATATCCGTGTTCAAGATACCGAAATTCAACTGTATATACGTCCTGACATGATCAGTAGAGTATATAGTTCTAGACATGATTATAAATAACAATATTGTATATCGCCTTTTCAGCTTTCAGATGGAAATCTTCACAAGAATTCCAAGAGAAAAATACAACAGAGTTCATAATATGAACCAAAAAAAACATAACTTTTTAATATCCATCCTTCATAATGATGCTGAATTGAGCATTACATCGATTTCACACAACTGATGATGTCATAATGCATAGCACTGCATAAATTTAATGACAAAAAAAGTGTCCAAGTGATAATAAATGAAATCATGACACAACTGGACATAAATTTTACATTGATTGAACACATAGGCACATTTGGAAATACAAGTTAAACATCAATGACTCGACTGTCCTTAGGAAAACTGACTTGTTTGACTCCAGCCAGCTGTAGAAGATCATTTATAGGAGTCTGGTCAGTGGAACATTCACAAAGATGCATAAAGTGGACTTCATCTCCTGCAAAATGAAATTAAAAACATGAATTCTGATATCCAATGAAAATGACGTAAAGTATTTGGGAGTGAATTTGAACTAATACATGTATCATTAACACTTACACTTATGACAGATTGCTTACATTGAAGTAGAAGAAAACTCAATGTTATAATACAATTAAATATGTGTCAGACTAAAAGCATGTTTTGCTGCAAAGTACCAGGTAATCATGTGACTACATGTGATTGTACTAAGCAGTTTTTTTTTTCGCACTAGAATTAGTACAGTAACTGCAAATCATTTTTTATTCACAAACACTTTTGTGTAATCAAGCAAGATGGTCTGGTCATAAAAATTTTATTCTCCCTTGTATTTTTTTTTTTTAATTAATAGATTATATACAACAAAAATGAAAATTCATGAAAATTTTGTCTCATATATAAATACCAAATACATGAAACTACCTCACAAAAATAAGGTGTCGCCAAAAATTGGGTAATCTATAGTTAATATTTAAAAAAAAAAGAAGACATATATGAATATAATTTCCTTTATATACCTGGTCCAAGGATATACTCTGCCCCTTGCTGTCGGACATCCCCCTGATATTCTTGGCTTTGCATGGCCCTCCATGTACTACTTAGAATTCCTGATATCATGTTATGCTTGAGGTGTTTATTCTCTGAAAAAAAAATCTTAAGGAATCAAAAAATGAATATATAAGAAAGCTAAATTTTTTTCCTTCGAAATTCAATAAAATCTTATGAATTGTGAAAATATTAAAAGGACTTATGACTTTGAAAGTCTTCAATAGAAATTCAGGCATAATAGAAAAAACATTTTTAGAGAGTGAAATATTGCAAAAAGGTTACTGTAAATCACTTTAAAGATTATGTACAACAATAACCAGAATTTGTGAAAACGTTGTCTCGCTTTTACATACAGCATTTCTATCTTGCAACAACAAAGTTTCACAAAAATTTGGTGATTTACAGTATAGAACCAGAAATGAAACACAAGTAAACCCATTGAAAGGTGCTTGAGCACCAGGAGTATTTGTTACTGAGCTTATTATTTGATCTAAAGAGCAGAAACAGAGATCACAGGGGTTTTATCACTTCACATACATGAACATTATTTCAAACAAGAGTTGTCCTACAGTCAGAGTCTTTAAGAAAGACCATATGAATATAAGTAAGGCCAAACTTAAAAAATTCTTTGTTTGCAGTTTCCATCCTATAATTTTAAGAGTGGGTAGGTAGGTAAGTATTTTTTTTTTTTTGGAAAAAAAAGATTTTAATTTTCAGCTTTTTGTTAGAGAACAAATCATAGAGATTTTCATAGGGTTACTAAAAATTAATAAGCTCCACTTATAATATAAGCCACTGATTCATAACAACAAAAATCTAAAATAGAAAATGAATCAGTTTCAATATTCTGAAAAAAAAAAAAATCTCAGAAAATGGCTAAAAAAATTTTTTAAGTGGGTCTGTAGGCAACTCCAAACAAACACTATTTTATTTTAGGCCTAATCATTCATTTGCTTGTTCCTAACAAGAAGATTTTTAAAGATTTTTTTCTGTGTATTACCCGATACATATATATTATTATAACAGTAACTTGATCCGAAGAGCCGTATCACGTCAAGTTGACAGGCGCGGATCATCAGATCAAACGAGACGCGAAGCGTCGAGTTTGATCTGATGATCCGCGCCTGTCAACGAGACGTGATACGGCTCTTCGGATCAAGTTACTGTTATAATGATAAATTTATTATATACCCCTTAACAACTAGCAAAATATGATAAAAGAAAAAACTTTTTGGATCAATTACATAACTTTTATCCATTAAACAAACCATTTTGTCAAGGAACTTTTTGATGCGTGAGAATAAAAACGTCATTTATCTGTGTACTACGTCATCAGTTTCAGAGAGGGGTGATATGGATTCAGAAAACCACAGTGTGGTGATCCGGAACGTCGGATCACATCGTCTCGTGATTGCGTAAATTCAACAGTAAAACTGAGTGACAAACAGTTGGGTATATAATAATATGTAAAACTTTGTTCACATATTGTGGCCCTACCCTACCCTCAGGGGTCATGATTTGAACAAATCTGAATTTACACATTCTGAGGATGCTTGCACATAAATATGACTTTGCCCCTTTGTGTGAAAAACCTTGTTATCGCTATTCCTCCGAAACCATAAATAGTAGAGATATAAAACCTTCAACAAAGTCTAGACTCTTCAATCTATTCACTGCGAAAGGATTCATAAACCACTTTGAGTAGTTATTGCCCCTGAAAGTTTTTGATGTTTACGAATAATTAAAATTTTTAAAATGATAAGTTGTAAAGAAATGGGACCAACTGCTTTCAATCATTTGACCTTGACTTTGAAATTAAGGTCAATGTCAAAGGTCAAGGTCATTGAAAACTACATAAATTGTTGATATAAGCTATTTATCCAAATGACCTTGACCCTGCCTCAAGAAGACAGCGCTTATCTAATTAGTATCCTTAATTTTCATTGGCTACTGACTTTATGTAATCTTCTTTCTACTAGAGAGTTCCTAATTTCTAATTCAAATTATCTCTGATCATCACAATATTTTATGCTCTAATGAACAGATATGAAGTCAGTTTCTCAAAAGCATGCAGATTCTTATATGATTGACTGATTGTATATTGTTTTATGTCCCATTCAAGAATTTTTCACTCATATAGAGATGTCACCATATACTGGTGAAAGGCTTCAAATTAAGACCTTTACTCGGCACTCAGGGCCATTGAGTAGTGAGGGTTCTTTATCGTGCCAACGCCTACCGTGACACCGGACCTCAGTGTTTAAGGTCTTATCTGAATGACCCATAACTTTCACTTCTTATGCTAGGTGCTTGGTGTCTTAGATATGAGGCAAGTGAAAACTGAACCAAGACTTCCAGGCCAATGGATTACCACTAGGCTAACATTACTGGTGATTCTTACATGAAGAAATCCATGACAGATATACAATTTTTAAAATTAGGATTTTCATGGTCATTTTCCCTTATAAGATGAAAACTGATCATAAGATTTTTTAGTGAAAAGTTCAACAAGACTACACTTCTAGAAATATCATTCATAGCAAAATGATTACATTAATTTTTCACATTTTGCAAGTATAAAAGAATTAGACATAATTCTTACTTTTAGTGTTCTTTCCATACTCTGGGTTGCTCTTCATACCCAGTAATTTGTAAAGCTCTCTGTCTGGATCTGTGTACATGGTAAACATATATCCTGTCTCTTTCTTGAAGGACTGATAAAAAGGTAAATGCAAAATTGTATATACCAGGTACATAATCTAAGGCTGATCAATTTAATTACATACATATGTTTTTCTTTTATCTTTTACTGCAAGTCTGAAAACATTTTTTTTTTCAGGTGTATGTGTGTGTGTCTGTGTGATTGTGTGTGTGTGTGTGTATGTATGTGTGTGTACCGGGGGTGGGAGCTATTAACATGTACATGCAAGGAAGTATTTTAAAACAGCTAAAAGACCAAAATTCATCCTCCATCATGAATGAAATGTCATGTTAATATTTTTAAATAATTTTATTAAGGGTATGAAAATACACAAGAGTAGATCATTTTACACCATGTTAGATCGATGCAATGAAGAATTTATTTTTCAGATATTTATTTATATGTAGTTCAGTATGAATACCTCCTATAGGATTGTCTTCAACATTTTTTTAAAAAAGTGTGATTATTTAATGATTTAAGTAGGTCTACAATAGTCTACCAATAACAATAACAGACAATAGTCCAACACCTAATTAGGCTTGAGTATCGTGGGTATTGTTACGATACGATACGTATCATGATACTACGACACAATACAAATGTGTATCACGATACAATTGAATATACAATTTAAAGCAGAAAATGGTTTCTTTTGTTCTGTATAATGACATAATAAAGATATAACAGTATAACTTCATGTGTATAATAGCAATTTATTGTATATTTTGGAAAAGAACACTTTGATTACTCGATCACTCACTAGAGAAATTCCACCACGCTCGTTTGGGACACCATTTGTTTTGTTTTTTTAAAAATTTTATTGTTAAGTATAAAACCACTTCCGGTATCATGATTTCAGAATGACGATACGATACGTGTATCACTGGCACACATGATCAATACCATCAATATATCGCTGTATCGTTACAACTCTACACCTAATAGCATAAAAAATTAAAAATTCCAGATTTGTTTCTATTTTGCAAAAAACTATCATGCTCATTTTTGAAAAAAAATGTTTGGAATGACCCTACAATTTGTTTTCTTCTTAAAACACTATATATAGATTGGTGCACTTTTGTACTATTAAAAGATGAAATAATATGCGCACCTTTTAAAAGATAAATGTATAACTCCATTGATTTATCTTTAAATGGTACGTGATTTAAAATATCATGGCCAAATATTTGAATACTTTTTTTCCCAATATTTGTCACTAACTACTCTTTTGCAGAGGTTAATTCATTTCAATGTTGTTAGGTCATTTATTCCCTCTCTTTAACTATATTATATTAACTTTATTATATTTACTTATTATTTTTACATAAAGATATACCAAACACAGTGACACTTACTTGTATAAACTTGTCAGGAGCAGGACCAATCACAACTATTCTCACGCCAGCTTCCTATAAAATTGTATTTAATACATGCTCAAACTGACAAAAGAGGATTCTTTGTCTGAATTTATTATTGTAACTTAAGCTCTAAGAAGTACAAGAATGATGTTTAATGATTTCATAAGAAATTTTACATTACTTCAAAAAATTTTAAAAATCGTAATATACCTGTAAATATTCTAATGGAACTCTTGCTAAATCTGAAAGAAAAAAATTGTATGTAATATATAAGATAAATAAATCACTCAAAATATACTTAATTGGGATTATTACCAAAATTCTTATAGCAAGTGCAGCACTCGTCACTGCAAGCTTTTAAAGCAATGCCTGTGTGAAGAGAAAATTCATACTTTGCACATTGATCCAAATGATTTTTTCCGCAGTTACTTTGAGACCCACAATGCAACGCGAATGCATCTTATTGCTAACTATGTATAACAACGAAAGTTCAAAAAGAAATGAATTCACCTTGATTCAATAGCAGATAAATATTCAATGTAGTAGATTAAACATTCTTTGTTAAAATTTGCATTTTCAAACTTCGTTATAAATGATAATACAACGAAAACATGACGTCATGTGATGCCAGAGTCTAGATGTTTCAAATGTCTCGTGCGCTTTGAAGAGGAGATTTAAGTTTTTATAAAAATGAATAGGTATCCAATAAAAATACAAATCTGCACTAGCCCTAATGGCCACACTGTCAACATATTATTACATTAATTTGAGTTGTTCTTCCCATTGTTTTATTAATCTTCTTTGTTGCTATAGTTTCATACCTTCAATGTAGTCTTTGCATACAAAGCACAGGAAATGCTGAAAGGAAAAAGTAGAATGATTAACAATGACATTAAGAAAAGAAAATGTATTTATTTTGAAATATACGTGTAAGAAATTATCAAACAGACTTGAACCATTTTTTTTTTTTTGGTATGAAAATTAGCCTAAAATCCACCCTTAATGTGCATAGACGAAGATAATACGCAAGCAGTGAAAATAACTCACCCTCGTGAAAATAACTATCGTTTTCTGGTGTTTGTAGATATCACCAAACTTTATTTTGTTGCCTCCTTCATCCAGGACAAACTTTTCTTTTGCCTTTGTGAAGTTGAATTTGAAGTCGCATGGTTCTGGTTTTTCTCCTCTTGACATTTGTAAATTATCTATTTCTTCTGTAACCTGAGTTTCTCCTTGTTCCTCCGTTTTCGACATTTTGGCAAGCTAAACGTGTTTCGTCTAGTTTAGTAACTGTGATGTTTGCTGTCGATACGAAATTAGCGCTGGTTCTCTACCCTTGATTCCAGTCGCTGCCGCTAGGAATTACAAGGACAGGTAACCACCGCCGCCATGACAGTGGAAAAACTCACTGCTTTGTCGCGCATAGCAATTACGCATTCTAAAAATAAAATTAATAGCATCCATATTGCAGAGAAGAATAGTTTGGTGGATCCAAAGATATATTGAGAAACTGAGATAGCAAAACGTAACATACTGAAAATGAGGTATAAAATTAAAAAAAAATATGTGGAAAATTTTTAACAACGTGTCCGTGCGTGTTGATTGAGTTCAATACGTTAAAATGAAGTCATTGACCAAGCTAACTGTGTAATTATATAATGTGAACCTGATACATAACACAGAGGCTAAGTGCCCTGATTTATGTAGTTAGAAAGGCCAGTAAAAGGCTTTTATTACCTGTAAACTTGAAAAGCATAAATAACGACAATGTGCCGTGTTAAGTGATTTACAATATTTGGGTCAATGGATGACAAGTGAATGTAAAATAATCAAAGACTTGAATTACTGATTTAGACCCTATTGCAAATGATTTTAACTACGTAACATTTTATAGATAGTTAAATTCTGTCTTCTTTCTTGGTTAATAGCAGTGTGGCATGCATTGTTTACTTCAAAGCACTCTGGATTTACGCTAGTCTAAATATAGAATTTTACCATCAGTGCCGTTTCCTGTGACGCGATAAAATGGCAGTGGTTACCTGTCGTTGGTTTTTCAGGGCGCTTGCGCCCGTTAACCAATGTCAGGGTACCAGTCTAGATACGAAATCAATGTCATGAACACGCTCAAATAAACATATACGATTATGATGTATTTTAAGCGTTTTGTGGATCCTCAATTAAATAACATTCAAACAAAACCGTATCTTTATCCGGAATTCACAGTGAGCTGTTCATAAAATCATTGCGCACCGTGTTTACATTTACCGATAAACTATACTCATTAATACTGGACAACCACAGGTACTTGGGAACGCCCTCACTTCGTACCCCCAAACGGATTTTAAATTTGTTTAAATAAAATATTTTTCCATGACACCGTCTACTTTTGCATCTCAGGATTTTTTAAGGTTACAATAGACAATATTTATTTTCCAATCAAGGGCCCCCAGAGAGGCATGAAAGATTAGTAGACATAATACAAACAAAAACATTTGATGCCTGGATTGATATATGTTTTTTGACCGATTTTGAAAAGAGATGACAAAAATAATAAATCCCTAAAATATAAAGAAATCGTAAGTTTTCTTTGGTGCTTAAATATGCGACTTTATTTTGATTTCTATATAATTCTATACAAAATTTTGCACAATTATTTTTAATATTGCGACACTTGCAAAGTTCTTCCACTTTACCTGGTAAGTATCATTCGGGTTACTTATCTGAATATAAATCTATGAGAAATATTTTTGATTTCTGAAAAAAAAGTTTGTTTGTGTTATTTATCCTTAATTTGATCTTGTTTTCCATCAATAATTTTTCTGATTGAAGTTGTAAACGAATAAATAGCAAAATCGGAGAAGGGGGGGGGGGGTCTCTCCACCTCAAGACCTGATTTTGGCAATTGCATCTATGTAATTTCTATGTATTTCTAATTTTTCAAATTAATTTATTTATGCAATATAATGTTTGTAAGTGATGTTAAGGTGCTCTGTATTTTTTCCTGTATTTCTAAATCTTCAAATTATTTAAGGAATAACTGTCTTATTTTTTGGTTTCATGATGTGATCAATCGAGTGGCTTGCGTGATAATTTGCATAAACGCCGAAGGCGTTTATGCATAAAATTATCACGCAAGCCAATCGATTGATCATCGTCATGAATCCAAAAAATAAGACAGTTATTCCTTATATTTACATGCTCCTGATTCTGCAAATTCCCGTGCTAATAGCCCCGCTTCTGTCTCTATGTGTCCCGTCCCGCACGTGATTTTTTTTTAACCGCGCCTATCGATGAACCAGTAGATTTATGTAGAAATAAAGTATTTTTACAATTTGTAATTTTATCTCGGACAAAGACATTGGAAATGTAAATATTTATGCATAAATAATGTTTGCGATTTAAGTTGCGATGTATTTGTTAAGGTGCTCTGTAATTTTTCCTTTATCTTACTAAAACAGATATATCAAATTAAAATCACAATGCGCTGTATTGTCAGAATACTAGTATATTATTTAAAAGAAAATCTGGAATAATTTTTTATACACCATTCAAAAAAGTAAACAACATAGAGTGTTCATTGCGTGAAGACGAATCGTTTTCCACCCGAGGCATCTCCTCTGTCTACACAGTAGTTCCATCTACATAATCAATGGTGACAAGTAATGTATAGAGTACCTTTAAACGAGTGAATCTTCAGATATCAGACGAGGTGGCTTGTCCCCCGAGTCTGACATCTGAGCATGCACGAGTTAATAGGTACTCTATATGTTTTGTATCATTGTTCTCAAGTACTGAGTCACCCATGATCTACCAATTTCATGTTAATAGCACGTGATTCAACTATATTCTCATGCACTGAGTTTGTTTGTTTGTTTGTATCTTGTTTTACGTCCCTCTCGAGAATTTTTCACTCATATGGAGACATCACAACTTGCCGAAGGAGAGCTGCAAATTTTGTCCTATACTCGGCACTTACGGCCATTGAGCAGTGAGGGATCTTTTTCGTGCCAGCACCTACTGCGACACACGGGACCTCGGTTTATAAGTCTCACCCGAAGGACCGGTCTCCACGTCCCACAGTGGGATTCGAACCCGCGACGTAAGGACCAACTCCTTACTCCGCGACTCTAGAGCAGACGCTCTAACCACTGAACCTACTGCACCGACTTAGCCATGATCTATCAAAATTTCACCATACCATTTTATATGACCAATGAAAAAAGAGCACGTGATTCGAAAAGTATAGCGCGCTGTATTTCTTGAACTTTCTACCTCGCCCATTCAAGTCTGAACGCCATGGATGACGGTTGTGATTTTATGCTTTCGCAATTCTTAAACACGGTTTGAACCGAAATTATGATGTAAATTCCTTAGATCAGTTAGGAAACCAAATACAGGCTGAAGATTCTTTGGGAAGTATGACGTTTGATCTACCGGAACTAAAAAATTGAACCTATTCTGGATTTCGATATAGGAGATATTTTAGACATGATGGAGACCGAGTTGGGTGCATCAATTTCACCAGTCCCGAGGTCGAGACAAAGACGAAAAATGAACGGTTTGTACAAGTGTCCGATCATGAAATTCGGCGTTTGATAGGCTCTCTAAAAATCTACTCGTAAAAATACCAAATGGGCAATTAAAACGTTCAAGGAGTGGCGTGCCGCACGGAAAGATGTCCACTTTTGACCAAGATGAACATCGATTCTCTTTATTATACTGGATGCAGAGATTTGTGTTGGAATTAGAAAACAAGCAATATCTACCTCTTTCCCTGTACTACATTGTGTGTGGTTTCAAGTTCATGAGAGACGAAAACATTCATTGAAAAATGTGCTTTGTGAATTCCAATTTGGATTTAAAAATTGACATGTAAAATTTAATTTTTTTTACTAGGAAAGGTATAACTTCACTATGTTTACACGAGTTTGTATTTTACTTATAAAGTCCGCTACTTTGTTTATATTCTTTTACTTTATCAATGTAAGGTCAAGGGTCATTGGAATTGTTGCATCATTACCTTGGCGTGTTAAATCTTAAAGGACTTATCGCATGATCTTTCAAAAATCGTAATTTTATGAAAAATATTATCTATAACCTTATTTATTAAAATACTGAATACAATAAACGTTGTTGAAAGCATATTTTAAGAGATATGGAGAGTTGAAATTCAAATACGGCAATATGCATATTTCAGTCGGATTTCGCCGAAATACTGCTCTGACGTCATAGGCGACAATTCGGTGATAGAGAGATGAGAATATGCACACTATTTACGGAGTTATCAACGACAAATGCAGCTTAATTACGAAAAATGCTGAAAAAATTAATTCCTTATATGCTTTTCAATTACTATCGAACATTAATTTGTTCTAAGGTATAAGGCTTTTAAGATATTTTCGTTTTTTATTCAAAACATTTAGAACCTGTAGCTCTAATTACAGCAATGTTTCGAGATCGGGAAATTATTTTTCAAGATCGCCATCCTTTAAAAAACATATGAAGACTTGCATAAATTAATGTTATATACAAAACGAAGAATAACAAAGTTATATAATGTTTAATTTGTGAATCAAATAAGTTAATACATGTGATAAGATGACAAATCAAATTGCATTGTTATGGCGAGTTTCTTCGTCTTCGCTGCGTCTCCCTCGCTATCGTCGCTGCTATTTTTACAAAGTTAACAGATTTTTCAGATTTTTTCTTGCTGACAATTCTAACATATAAGATTGAATATTTAATTTATATCGATAAAATAAGTGATTTGGTCTCCACAACGCAGAAAATTCAGGTTGTATCGCGTATATTTTAGTAAGATTAATGAAGAGCTGATCAGCCATTGTCGCCTTTGACGTCACAGGGTCACGTGATCACTATCTAATTAACTTAGATTTTTAATTCAGGGGTTTTCATTTGAGTCAATAATTGGTTAATTACCGCGATTTATCCACAGTAAAAACACAGAATTTATAAATTGTGGTCATAAGGAACGTAATACGCTTTTAATTTCAAATAATTTAGAAACATGCGATAAGTCCTTTAATAGAGCATGGTTGTTAGAGCACAGTTAGTCATGGTGTATCAAAAATAAAAACACAGTGGACAATGGACATCAAAGGAAAAACACCGCAGCAATGATACAACAACTGATAACACACCTACTTATATCTTTAGCAACGACAGTGTCAACTACGTGCACGCAGTTCTGTGGTGAGGAGTCCTTTAGAAAGCAAAACCCTTCTTGTAGATGTTTTTCACTTAGACTTTCCAAATACGACATTATACATGCACACAATA